AGTATAAACAATCGGTGTCTCAGCTAGTTGTTTTCCTTCATCTGAGTATGAGATGAATTCTCGTGCAGCACAAAGATGATAATTTATTATTCTACCACCGCAAATCTTCTAGCACACATCAGGATTTACAATCATAGGAGGATAAAAAGGAAAAGCATTGTGAAAGCCCTGCGATTCCGGAGAGGCAGTGCAAAATAGCAAGAAGAAGAGGAAAATAGGTTCTTACATATAAGAATTGAGTGCTATGTATATAAATCTACATAAACACAAGGGTATTTACATTCATACCACACAATTCTTATTTATTTACATAGAAATACCTAATTTTATAGTTTTATATATAACTCAAATTTGTAATTTACATCAAAGATACTATTATTATTATTTATTAAAAATAAAAAATACAAACAAAACCGTTATTAGGGGTGTAAACTCGTGTTCGGCGCGTTTATATTTCAAGCTCAAAAAGTGTGTTCGTGTTCTGCTCGTTTGCTTAGCGAGCCGAACACGAGCCGTTCACGAACAAAGAGTCATTTTTGACAACCTAAGATGTTAAACCATAAGATGTTAAAGATTGAGGCAAGATTTAAAACATAATTTGAATCTAATTTAATAATTTTTATTCTATTTTCTTCATTAATACTTTTAATTGATTATAACTCTGTAGTCTTATAGTCAATTAATTTTTTTTTAAATACAACTCATCAAAGATATATATATAATTAATTAGAAGTATTTCGAGCCAAAACAAGCAGAACACGAGCGAACAAATATTTGTTCGTGTTGCTCTTATTCGGCTCATTAACTTAGGGAACGACGAGTCGTTATAATAAAAGTCAATATAAATAAAATAATTTAAATTTAAATGCACTGATAAAGCTATCGGCCAGCTGGAAATTAATGGACCAAAGTCGGCCGAGTGCATTCTCCACGTTTTCCGTGCATCGCACGACAGCAGACCGGGGGCGGTTCGCATGCGCCGCAATTCAGAGAAGCTTTGCCAATCAACGTACGAATTCCAGCATATGCGGGAAAATATGCACATTTTCCACCATTGTTGAAATGATTAAAAGGTCTTCATAAAAAATAAAGTCATAATGTGCTTATCTTTTGCAAAGTTATTCAATTTCACGGGGAAAGGAAAATAAATGTTTTTTTTATGTGAAATAAATAAAATATTTTAATTTTTTTAGTGTTTAATTTAGATGGATTTACATGCCAAAATATTTATTATTTATTTATATATGTCAAATATTAAACATCACATACAAATATCAATAAATTTTTTTTTTTTTGGTTCTAACTAGTGGAGCTAATACAACCATGGGTCGGGTTGACTTGCAAGATTGATCTATCGGGTTAACTCGCCTGGCAAGCCTCTTCATAAAAATATGGAAATATTGATTCTCGCTCCATGGAGGCCAGATTTGCTCTTCTGATTAGTCCACTGTGTTCGCCCAACTATTGATCATCAGGACTATTTATGAGCTGATTGATATATATACCCACCCCTTTTGTATTGTATGACCCATAATTTAATTCCTCTCCTTCCCTGCCTCTCTCTCTCTCTCTCTCTCTCTCTCTCTCTCTCTCTCTCTCTCTCTGTGTGTAAAGGTGTGTTTGGGGCGGCGGAGCGATGTTGCATTGTATTTTTTTTTTGATTAACTAAACTGTGTTTTGTTTGTTTGAACAATAGTTATTTCTTCAACAGCTACACAACTGTTTCGTCAAACAACTACAGTGTCCCCAAACAAAGGCTAAGCCATCACGAGGAATGAACGATTGGCGAGTAATATAAATAGACGTGCCCTAAGAGGGATAGTACCCTATCTATTCTCTTCAAATTAATTTCCCACACCATGTTCCCCCAGAGGGAAGCAAACCATTCAAGCTTGATCCTTACATTTTTGTATGGGTTGTAATTTTATTTGCATGCCTCAAATTTTTTAACTATTTATTTTTCTAATACTAACTTGTAGTTTTGGGCAGGGGGTGTCAATATTTATATTTTCATATTTTACCATTAGGGAATTATTAATTTAATAAACGTATTTTTTGAGGTTTTAATTGTAATATGAATGTAGATGGGGGGTTGAATAGTTATATTCTTCAATTTGAAATTAAACTTTAAATTCATGCCTCGACTAGATGGACTAATGATATGAAGATTGGTCCAATATAAGTCAAATCAAACTCATATCAATCGATTAAACCGCTTGTGGAAGCTTTTCGGGCATTTTTGGAAGGTTAAAAGGATATTGAATCTGGTGAGCTCGTGGTTGAATCAAGCATCTCGACAAGACAAATCTAATGAACCAATGATCACTCAATTCTGACATTATTAAGACACTCAAATGCTCATCAAATATCGTCTGATAGAGGGAATCTCTCTGGGTCGTCCAATCAAAATGGTTCATATTCATTAATTAGTTGCAAACGGGGCTCTATAAAAAGAGCCTCACGCCTCCCATGAGAAGAAAAATTTGAGTTTGAAGCATGAAGAAGAGCTTGAAACTTGGAGAAGAAGCTAAAGTTCAACATCACTCCTGCAACCATCAATCGCCACTAACAACCGTCAACTATTACTCACCGACCGCCTCCGATCATCATCCAACATCGCCCATTCCTTGCTACAACTTCATCCATGCATCGATTTATAACTTCGAAGACTGTGTAACTCTTTCGCGCTTGCAGAACAAGAGATTGTTCTTGTAATCTTCGGTTAATCATAGATATTTTCAGCTCGTTCAGACCACATGGATCTTTCCTTAACGTGTTTTCCATTTAAAATTTTATGGTGACCCTACTGGTTGTTTTCTCTAAGCTTTTGCTGAATTCTTGTGCAACACCAAGAAGATAATCTATTACTCTGCCGTTACAAATCTTCTAACACAGACCAATTTTCATCTAAAATATTTCCAATCCTAGCTATATATATATATATATGTCTAGGGTTTG